TAAATAGTAAATACAAATCTGAAATGGAAATCACTAATGCCTTATCACATATCCCGTACACGTGAATAATATTATCACTTCTATGGAAGTTACTTTAATCTTTATGACCAATTATTAATATCATGAACCTATGGCTATGACTTTCTGAGCGGCCGACCAAAGACTGTGGAAGCGCCAGCGGTGATAGCGTATTGGTATTACCATTGATAGAAATGGGACGTCGATTTGCTTCTTCCACCGATTGTGATGTGTGTTGTGCTGTTGTGTTGAATGATTGTTTTTTTCGGTTCAATTCGAAGAAGTTATTTTTGTCTTCAAATTTCTAGAACACCGCAATATATTATTGCTAGTTTTTTAGTTTTTGACAGTGTTGTAAAACCAGACCATATACTCACTGTCTAAAACATGGACAAGGACAACTATACGATCGAAAATGATACTGTAGATTCTGAACAATTGTTTTTTAAGATCAATAACAAACAAGTCGTGTTTAAAACGGACAAGCGAACTGTTGAGAAACTAGATGATGGTATGTTCAGAGATGTGTATTATAATTTTTATTGACATTTATTTTAAAATTTTGGGATACTGAGATACTTTTTCTATACTGTTTAAGTAAATTCCTAATTGTATTAAAATCTTGTAAGTAAGACTGTGCCTAATATTCACAAATCTTAATATTAAAATATAAAGAATATTTGAAATGTTAACTTCATCTATAACAATGTATTAAAATTTCTAATATATTAGCAATTAAAGTCTAAGAAGATATTTAATTTAACACAAAATAATGATAACTAACATTCTTATTTAACTTTTACATGCACATGATTCATATTTATTAAATAATTAAGCAATTGGCTATCTATTAAGATTTTAATTTTAAAATTCTATGTTATTATTAAGTGAAATTATTCTATTGCATTTTTAGAAGAGGTGTTGATGAACTATGTTAAAGCTATAATTAATTCAAGAATGTTAATGACAAATGGTCGGAATTTAATCAACTATCCAGTTAATATTACAAGAACCGATGATTTGGATACATCTAGTTCATTTATTGAGTTAGAAGTTTCTACTATTGTACAAGATGAYGGAGTTGAAGAACTTCATTGTGCTCTTTTAAATGAGTATGTATTAGTTTAGGTTCCTGGATTAATATAATGCACTCTTATACTTATAATTGTATGATTAAACAATATTTTTAATGTATTCACATTATTCAAGTAGTACAAATTCGAAAGAAATAATGTATATACTATTATACTAAAATAATCTAAATTCATTTTTAGTGGAACCTCAAATCATACTAAATCTCCTAGTGAACTTAAATCTGTTATTGTAAATCAAAATGCTACAGAAATTAATCAATGGAATGATTCCTTAATGAATGAAACTTACATTCCTGATAGTAATAGTGAGTACATTTTGTTTTCTACTCTACACAATTTTCTAAGTTTTTATTTTAAATTTAAATTTAGTTAACTTAAATTATAATTTATTTATACTTGGCACATTTTTAATTTAGTGCCAGCTTTAAAATGGTCCACAGAAATGACATCTTTATTGATTGCTTTGCGTGGCAGTCTTAATGAAGAATTTAACTCTTCAAAGTATAAATTTAAATTATGGGAACTGATTGCACGACGGATGAGTAGTAGCATGCCCACAGTTAAAGTGACAGCTAAAGATTGTGATGACAAATGGAGAAATATAGCCGCTACTTACCGTAAAAATATTGAAAGAATTAAATATATGGGAGATTTTAGCGTACGATGGGAACATTTTTCTRCTATGGATGAAATCCTTAGAGGTACTGATGAATTAAAAATACCAGATTCCTATATTGAGGTGGACAAGATGATTGATCCTGTAAATAAGACTTCTGAAATTGACATTGATTTTGATGCAGATGAGTATGTACATTATTTTATAATTACTACTCACAGACAACAGTGTTGTGTAGTAGGTATTTAAATGACTTTTTTTTAAATTTAAATACTCAATTGATTATTTGAAATAGAAAAAAGAATTTAATTCAAATTAATTTTCACCAAAAATTTAATAATTTGTTTAAATAATACTAAACATGCTTACAACACTGGTTATTAGGAAAGAAGATTTGACTAAGTATTATAGTATACATTTGTTTCCAGTGCTAAGGAAGCTATGAATACAGATTCAAATGATGAAATGGATTATTTTTTTTTGACTTCAACAACTAATGCAAACAATGGTATGTTTGATTTAAAAATAATTTACATACAATAATTCTAAAATTTATTTTCATAATTGTTATTTTTTTTTATTATATTTATTTTAGAAATTGAATCCTAAAATGTTTATTAGTATACATTAAAATTTGAGTACTCGTCCAATATGCTATCTAATATATTTACTGTAGATAGCATATTGGACAAGTACTAAAATTTGTAATTATATAATACAGTATTAGATTTTGAGTAGTATTGATGATTTTTTACAGAAATAAGATTATGGACCCAAGAAATGATACTTCTTTTGTTTTCGCTACGACGTTCTATGGCAGATCGTTTCGACCACGCAACCAAAGAAACAGAAAAAGATGTATTATGGTATGAATTAGTTACAAAAATGAATAAGAGTCTTGGTGGAAATGTTGACATTGAATCATATGAAGCAGAATCATTATGGAACCAATGTGTAGAACAGTATGAAGAAAATTTAGAGAAATTAAAGGCTGAAGGACCTCAAAATGTTAAATGGCCTTATTTTGCCATTATGGATCAAATGTTAGGTGGTACAATAGAAATACCAGATGTCTGTCATCCGCGTCCTGGCGAAGATTTGGTGCCTGTTTTTATGCAAGGTGTTTGGAAACAGTCTGAAGTACGAGAAATATTAAACAACTATAAAGTTGATGTTAAGTAAGTTGAATTACCAACATATAAAAAATAAAATAAATATTTACGATTATGTTAATGATTTCAGTGTAGATGTTGATGAAGACTCCGATGCCAGCGATGAAAGTGTTGTAGAAACTAAAGCCGGTGTAAAGTGGCATCCAGAATTAACTCGCAAGTTAATACATTTACGCTCAGATGCAGAAAATGAAGTGAAAAGATGGATACGTAAACCAAATTCAATTTGGACAGTAGTTTTAAAGAAATTTCGTCGYATCGGCATAGTTTTACTGACTGAACAAGATTTAGAGAATAAATGGAATAGTTTAGTGAGAGCATATAACCGCAGAGTGGCTGGTATCAGTAAAAGGCCCAAAACCCATTGGCCATATTTCTATGGGATACAGAGTGTGATGAGTAGCATTATTGAGAATGAAAGTGCTCGTTCTCTAACACTTGCACATGATGGTAACAAATCAGATCAACCACCTGAATGGTTTGTTAGTTATATGAAAAGAAAAGAAGCTAGTGATGCGTACAAACATGAACAGTTGAGAAATATGCTAGTTGACATACAGCACAGTCAAATGGAAAATAGAAGATTAATACTTTCTATTTTCAAGAAATTATAATAAAAATCCTAGTCAAGTATGATTATTTTACATAAATGTGATCATAGAACATATATTCTTGTAAATATATTATATTTATTGTTATATAAGGCTGACAGCTTATTTTAAAAGAAATAATGGATATTTTTTTACAAATGTATAGAAAAAAATGTATTTATAATAAATAACTTAAAATGAAAAAATTTATAATTTTGTATCTCATATGTTATCAAAGGATTATTTTTATTGTTATAGTTAAATTTAGTTAATAATGTAACTTTCATAGTTTGTAATAAACTATTGATTTTGTTAAAATTTGAAATTTGTATTAAAAAAAAAGTTTTTTATGTTGTTGATTTCAAATTATTTCAATTTATTTTAAGAGTATACTAAACAGTCATTTGTTATCTTCCTCTTACAAACACGTTACAAAGCATACTTATACTTAGCAGACCATATTTAGCTTGTTTAGTTTAAAAATTAGAGTGAATCGTCTATTAAGAAACTTGATGGCTTGAACATAATAGGCTGATTTACTTAATAAACTAAACAAGGTAAACGTGATTTTCCGAGTGCAAAGATAGTTTGTTAAAGACTTGTATGACAAAAAGTTTCTATGTAGCATTTATCTTAATTATAAAATACTTGATTTTGATGTTAACAATGATATTATACTATTTTGACATGCACAATGTAGATTTTTATGTTCAAACTTTAATTATTGTGAGTTTTTAATATTTTTCAAAAATCTTATGCAATCATAAAAATTGCTACAACTATTACTATAAATTATTACTTTTTTATAAAAGACATTTTTTTGACTGCTTATTTAAGCCACAATTGGTTGATAAAAAATTAATATTTATAATTTTAGTTAATATGAAAATAATCAAATGAATCTAAATTTTATCACTTCAGTGTATTTATTTTTATTATATAATGCTGAGGGATTCTCTCCATTTGCTCACCGACCACCCTTTTAGATGGTGTGGTTAAGTCCACTCTATGACTCATGTCAATCCCACTCTAGAAATTTTAAATATTTAAAAATAAAATTAGCCGTTAACATTTTAAATAAAATTTTAATTTTTGAGTATTTAATTAATAAGTAAAAACAATTTTTTTTGGTTAGATATATGTATTTTTTGCGGTAAAAAATTGTTAAAATTAATATGAAGTTCATTAATGAATGATTATCATGTGCATCACAAGAAGCGAAATAATAAACTAACTCAAATAAAATTAAGTTTATAGATTCTGTAATTCTTTATAGATCTTCATACTTCATAGTACCTAGTGTATCTTATCCGATTTCATAAGTTAAAAAATATTAAAAAATTCTATCCTTTSTTTCATTATCATTTTGAATAATTTCATAAAACTAATACATTTTAGTCCGTGATAAACTGATAACAAGTAATGTATTATCTATGGACTATTTTTTATAAGATGTTAGTGTTCACGTCGTTCACGATATTGTCGGTATTATCAAAATATTAATTTTTATTATCTATAAATCTGTGAAGTGTGCGGACCGGAATTTATTATTTAATAATTAAAATAATTGATATTATTGTCGAGTGACAAATTGTAACTTTACACAAAGTGTAAATACRTTGCTACTGTGCTACCTACATTTTTTTAGTGAAGTAAATTTAAAGAAAATCATCACATTGTYYAAAAATTAAGAAGTAAGAGAAATTTATCCTAATTCATCTGTTCTACTAGTGATTTTTTTCGTAACTGTCTAAACTCACCTATAGCGACAGTAAAATGGTGACTTCTATCACTTCAGACGCAGAATTTGACGCCTTGAAGTATGTATATATATATAAATATGTTATTTATCTATTTAAATCAACGGTTAAACATGCTTTTGAGTGAATATAATGAAATATAACATATATTGTGAATTTTTAGGTAAAATTTAGACATTAAGTGTATCCCAAATGTACTTAGACAATAGTGAAAAAAAAATGATAAGAACACAATATAATAACATATTATATTATTAAAACTTTATGTAGTTTTTATTCGTTAAAAATCTATGCATTTTTTTATGAAGAATTTGTAAAATAATACARTATTTTTTGGTTTTCAGATCAAATGGGTTATCAGTTGTTCATTTTTATGCCGATTGGTCAGAGCCATGCCAGCACATGAACAACATTCTTGCGGATTTAGCTCTAGAAGATGAATTCCGGGTAACATTTATAATAATATTTGCATAAATAAAATCCAATAAAATATTTTTTGAATATTTTAGAATGTTAAAATTGCAAAGTGTTTAGCTGAAGATTTTGCAGAAATATCATTAAAATATAATGTATCTGCTGTACCAAAATTTATACTGTTTCGTAATGGCGTTCAAGTTGATGTATTAGATGGTGCTGATCCAATACAGCTAAATAATAAAATTCAAGCACTGGTACTTTTAAATTTATTAATAGCTAAAATGTAGAAATATTTTACTTATTATTTATTTACATATTTAGCTAACTAAAGGTGACAAAACAGATCAAAAAGAGCAAAACATAAATTTAAGACTGAAGTCATTGATAAATTCTGCTCCCGTCATGCTTTTTATGAAAGGATCAAAGTCTGAGCCTAAATGTAAGTTCAGTACAGCAATTGTAAATTTACTTAAAGAAATTGGTGCCGATTTTAGTACATTTGATATACTYCAAGATCAAGTTGTTAGAGAAAAATTAAAAACATATTCAAATTGGCCGACATATCCTCAGGTAAATTAATTGAAATTTTGCAGAGATAAATATTGTAATATTATCTTACAAAATATATGTTTTTATTTTTTTGATAGCTTTATATAAATGGTGAATTAATTGGAGGATTAGATATTGTGAAGGAATTGAAAGAAAATGGTGAGCTAAATGATCTTTTAAAATTAGAAAACAGTAAAGCTAACCTCAACGACAGGTGAATTATTCTTTTTTTTATAATTTTTTTAGAACATATCCATGTTTTTCTTTTATAGTTGAAATATATCTTT